ATTTTAAATGGGTAAGGCTGTTAAAAAAAAAAAAAAAAGCATTGGGAATAAGCAATACTAAATTTCATCTGATGGCCTGTTCCTTCCTTTTGAACACTCTTCAAAGCTTCAGAGCTTTTTTTAATTTTTTTTTAAACAAAACCAGTGGCCCTTGGGGCTGGTTGCAATGGGATTAAACTCACTGGCCATTCCTACCAGCAAGGTACCACTCTGTTGGGGCAGCAGTGAGCAAAGCAACCCCTGCTCCAAGAATCCTTTACCCACCTCAGCTTTGACGTCCAACAGTCCTGAGCCAAAATCTCTGCCCTTCCTCTGCGTGATCGCAGGCAGATGACCGGACTTCTCTGAGCCTTGGTTTCTCCTCTGTAAAATGGGGCTAGTGATTCCTCCCCGACAGACTGTTACAAAAGGAACTAAATGAGATCATCTCCACTGAGTTCCCAGCCTAGTACCTGGCACTTAGTAAGCACGGAATAAATGTTTTCTATTCTTATCAGTCATCCAGTAATTCAACAGAAACGTTAGCGGACTCTCCTGCGTGCAATTGGCCAGACGGTCAAAGCCTCAGGCACTCATGCTCTGGTTGGGAGGCAGACACAATCTGGCCTCTCCGACTGAGACAAAAGGTGATGGGGAGGACTAGTGAGCTTTCTGAGTGCGGAGGAATCCTGACTACTGCGAAGAAGCCCACACACTTTTATTTCCGTTGTTTCATTTTGGTTGAAAACATGTTTTTAATTTTATCGTCCTTTTTTATTGTTTCAGTTATTCTTGGAAAACCTGGATTTGATCTAAGAGGGAAGTGCTCCCGTTTGCTTAAGATGGACTCTGAAACATTGATTTTATTTGGGAGATGTGTTTACACTCAGTTTTTTAATCTCATCTAATATGTTACATGAAATTTGTTCAAAAGAAAGTTTGCCTTAACCTTTGACTTTCCCTCCCATTTCCTGGCCAAATGTCACAGGCTTGGGGGGAGGGGACACCTTAATGGGGACACTGCACCCCAAGGTCTGTCTTCTGTTCCGCTGGCTGAAAAATTCCCTGTATCGGTGCTGCCAGAGCCATTTGTCACATGGACTAAGACATAGTGATAGAATTTCTAGTACTATCCACCACAGGGCCACACTGCGCAGTGGTGGGAATACCACCCATGCCAGCTGGTACCCGGCAGCCTAGTTGGGCCCAGAGGTCTCCAAGGCACCTTTGTCCAAGCCATGGCGACACTTGGCCCACCACTGAGGACGGGCACTCCCGAGACGCCTCTCCTCTCCCAGGGTCCATGTCCGTCTCTGTGCCCAATTCTTAGCCCTTGGACCCTCCCTGCTAGACTCGGTCTCTTTTCATGTGGTGGAGGTCAGCACGCTCCATGCAGCTCCAGCTTCCCTGCTGCGTCACAGCCTGGTTCCCTAATGGGTCTTAGAGCCACATCTCCCAAGCAAATATCTGCAAGTGTTTGCTCTCAGCAGATGGTCCACCCTCTCACTCATTCTGGGAGGTTCTTTTTGTTGTACCAGGAGGGTTACTCTATCTCCTGATTTGGGGCCCCTTTGCCTTTCTGTAATGTTAATGATAACAGCTGCTGAAGCACTGCTAATACGAATCTGGAGCTTGTGGTAGTGCTGGTATCAGGGCTGGTACACAGCTCGTAGGGCGCTGCTGGTAGTTTACCACCACAGTCTGTTCTGATTGATCATTGCCCTTGACTTCTGTTGCCAAGTATTGTAAAAATCACCAGACTTTGCACAGATTATTTCATTATATCCTTACAAGCCTATTGGGTAGGTACTGTTTTTATTCCCATTTTACAGATGGGGAAAAGAAGCACAATGGGTTAAGGAACTCATCCGAGTGGGAGAGCTGGGCCTTGAACCTGGGTCTGTCAGACCCCTGAACCCATTCTCTCAGCCACCACTCTGTCCCCATGAGCACCCTGACCTGCAGCCTCTGCTTACTAAAGGGTTAAGATCAAAAGCTCAGCCTCTTGGTAAGGGACAGCTGCTCCCCCAGACCACTGGAGCCCCATTTCCCACGTGGAACACTCTGCATTAGGAAGCCAAGCCAATAACCAAAGCTCTTGGGAATTGGACTGATTCTTTGCAAACCGTGCCAGCAGCAGATCCAGCCAGCTGTGCTGCGGGACTGCCAGGGCCATTTGGGTTGGTCAGCAAACCTGTCTGGAGCCTCTGCCGTGTGCCAGGCACGGCTCCAGAGGCAGGCAAGATTCAGGCTTTGCCTTTGGAGCGCCAGCAGCTTCTCATCTTTCCCTGGCCTCAGATGGTCCCGCTGAGAGGGGTCAGCTGCAGGCCATGTCTTTGTTTGATGCCCCAACCATGTTCCTGATGTTTCTGCCCTCTAGGCTGATAGCCACCTTATCACAGCCCAGGAAGCAAATCCAGACGCACCAGGCGGCTGTCTCTTCGGCTGTCTCTTTCTGCACCTCACAGGCCCCCAGGAGTGCTCAGGACTGGCCCAGGCCCCCAGGAGTGCTCAGGACTGAGACACCGAAAGCAACGTGCTGGGAGGAGAGGCCTGCAGGATGCAGTAGGACCCATGATGCCTGGGGCCTTGAACCCAACCCCATACTGTCTCCTCTGCTGACGTTCTTAGTTCAGTGCTAGGGGGTGAGGAGCTTATTAAGGGAAGGGTTCTGGGGTCCAGTATGTCCAACAGAGTGGGTAGGAAGGGAGGAGAGGTTAATGGGCACCACCTCCATGAGAACATGTGCAGTCACTCACGTACCCCTCAGTAAAAGGCCACCTGCCCTAAGCCTGTAGCCCACTGGCCTCTTCTCATAGCTCTTCTTGTCACCGGTACCGGTCCTGTCTGAGATGGACTTCTCCCTTTCTACCCACTCTCCATTTCAGTGTGCATATTCCTAGAAGTGCAGCTTCCTGAACAAGAGCTGGCAGCTGCCAGGGAGAAGACCCCAGACCCTGGCATCCAAGCACCTGCCCCTTTGTGCCCCTTTCCAGGTCGTGTGCAGCCTTATAGCCCTTCCAGGGGCCACAGCCTCACTGCAGCCCCCTCCCTTTGGTTCCCTGGTAAGGGGGTGACTGCAAAACCCCTTAGTTTCCTCCATGGGGAAGGGCAATGGGGTAAGTGGGGGTGTGGGTGGATGGTCTTCTGCTCAGGGCAGAATGCTAAGAGGTGTTGCTCCAGGCTGTGCCTGACCAACGATCCTGCCTGACACTGGGCATGATGCTCAGGTGATGATACCAGGACAGGCTGGGGGCACGTCACATAGAAGTCCCATGACTCTGCTTAGAACAATGGTGTTGTCTGGGTGGGCGTTCCAGCTGTACCCACCTCCCGCAGGCTTGCTTATTCCCCCAAAGGGGTCACGGAGCCAAAAGGTCAGTAAGAGAGCACTTTCAGCCTTCTCCCTGTGGGTGCTGAGGAATTTGGACTAGCAACCTGAGGAGGGGTCTGGTCCCTCCCTTCCCTCCTCCCCCCCACCACCCTTCTTCCTTCTAGCCCCACCCTCCAGAAGGCAGCAGCAGGCCAAAGGTTCATGCTGAAGTTGCTAGTCAGAAGCCAGGTGCAGCTGCATAGAGTGGCCCAGCCTGGTGACATCCTGAGGAATGCCCACAGGAGGCAGTGAGAGCACCATGGGAGGAGAGAAGCAGCTGTGAGGTTCAGGCAGCCAGCTCAGCTGTGATCTTAGATCAGTGTCTGGGCTGGGCCAGGGAACTGGGCTGTGATGCCTCAGTGAGGTGACTGACGTGCTCCCACCCAAGGGATCTAGAGGTAGGGGTGGGGAATGGATGCCCAGCGTGAGGAATCAAGGCTCTCATGCCCAGTGGACCACACCACTGCCAGTGATACAGCAGCTGCACAAAGGTGTGAAGAAAATCGAGCACCTCACCCTTTTATGTGGCAGGATAGGTTAACCGTAGGCCTGGGGCTCTGATCTCTGGCCCTTGGCTGTTGTTCTCAAACACAGGCTGGCCCCATCCTGCAGAAACTGAAGGGCAAGCCCGAGTTTCCTGCTGGCCCAAAGGCAGACAGCTGACCCAACCTTGTCCATCCTCTGCTGCCCTACCTGAAGGTGATCCAGAAGGGGCCAGGTTTCCAACTGCTGCATAAGACCCCAGCCCTCATATCTGACACCAGGCAAGAGGCAGTGCTTGCAAGGAGCCAGGTGGAGTCTGCTGTTGGGGAAAGCTGAGGAATGATTAAGGAAATGAGTCAGGTCCAGTCTGCTCAGAGCCTGTTTCCTCACTAACGGTCAGGCAGCAGCACAGGCCCCTGGCTGGGGCCGAAGCGGTGGGTGGGGCAGCCTGGCTAAGGGACATAGGTGGTCTTTGCTGGCCCCTCCCAGGTTTGCTCTTCCCTCCCTCGGACTGATGGGGACATCTCAGGAAACAGGCTTGAAGTGCTTGCCTCCCTATTAATGGTTACACCACCTTAAATTTTGTAAATAGGATATAATTTTTGTTCCTTAGACTTAAAAAAACATCTGGTCCACATACCAGTTCTGGGATGTAGCAGGGTTATTAGAGACCCAGAAACATGGGCCCAGGCAGTCCACCATTTCACTAACTGCATAATAGAGAACTGTGGAGGAAGGGCAATGGGGCTGCCTCACCTGGTGTGAACTTGGCTTCTGGCCAGCAGTTTCACAAACACATGGCCCTTCAGCTATCTTCCCAAAGGGACAGGCTAGGGGCTGCAGGAGGACATTGGCTTGGTTCAGAATCTTCAGGGAGCCAAAGCTGCCAGGACCTGACACTTCCAGCTCTCAACTTACCTGGCTCACACTAGTCTGGCCTAATTGGGAGACAGCTGACAGTGAAGAGGCACTATTAATATGCAGGTTCAACAGGCAGAAATTGGCACTGTCCCGAGCAGTGTGACACACATTGACAGGGGTCTGCTCACCTCATTACTAAACGCCCCCCTCCCCCAGCTGAGTTGGAAAGGCAAGGCTTGCTAGACATTTTCCGTTTCCTGAAACAGATGTTATTCAAATAAAGACCATTAACAAGATGAGAAAGTCTGCAACTTCAAAAACTTTATTTTTGTCTCATCCATCAAGGGCACAGGATACCTTTCATCAGCTCCAATTTTTGCTTTTCTCCTTACAGACTCTGTTCCATCACCTATACCCAGATTATCTCCTGTGTGGGTACCTTCCTAGAACCAAAAAATATTTTTGCCTTCTGTGATGTGTGCTCAAGTAAAGTATGGAAGTGTTACACTATTTAAGCAGCAAATTCCAAGTCACCCAATAAAATTCAAGAACTTTCTACATCAAGACACAGACTGCGTAAAGTTCAAGCGTTACCCGCTTGTTACCACAGGTAGAAACTCAAGCTAACTCATAGCTGCTTCTACTTGTGTTCAAACACTGCCACACTCCAGAGCACAGCATATCCCAATGTCTAGGACTTCAACTTCCTTCGGAAGTAACAACATAAGTTCTCAGTCAGTCATTGTTCCAAGCACTGGTTATAATGGACCTTTTACAAAACCATTCATTGTATTTTGTATTGTATTGGACTCCGCCTTTGATATCCCCCCTAAGGCTGTTTAACCAGGACTCCCAAGGCTACTCTAGCTAGCTTCTTCACAAACCCTTTAAAGTTGAAACTAATGCTAACTTATTAAAAAAGCCTTTAGGGCAAAAATGTGTTCCTACAGCTAACTTTAAATATACCGAACACCTCCTAATGATTGGTGGCTCTTGTGCCCACATCCAGCTGACATATACTGAGCTTTACTGCTGCCCATCATTGGTCAAGAAAACTAGTTTTTATACTGAAAAGGTGGCTTAGACCAATGAATTCTCTACCTCTGCGCTTCTGTTAAAATAATTTGCTACGTAGAGATCTACATACTGCCAGAAAAGGTTCTTGGAACAGATACCAAATTTGAGCCCTCGAATTTTAAAGAAATTTACTTTCCTTGACCTGTTATACCTTGAATAGACAAATTTTTATACCTTGACAACATGGGGGCAAAGGGAAGCATATTAATACGTCTTAAGCCCGCACTGCAAAAAATAGCAATCATGGCATTTTTCAGAGCAGAGGGACTTTTACATGCTTTCTATGACTATTTTTGTAAATAAAAGGTTCATCTACCAAGCAAAACCTAAAAAAGCTAAACTCAAACTTTAAGATACAAAGGACCTAGATAATGGGTGGGTTTGTACATTCAATTTAGGTTTTTGACACTTAGTTGGATAAACAAGTTTATTTGTAAATTTAGTCAACATACATAATTGACCTAAAAACTTCAATAGAAGGATAAATTTAAAAACCACTTGGAAGACCATCTCTAAAGTGATTTCCCCAGAACCATATACCAGATGTAACCTCACTAGACGCCATCTTAACTGGCTGAGGTTCGAAAAGCTGGAGCTGTGTGCCCCTCCCCCACCACAAGTTTACTCTAAGCCTTATAATACAAACTCCACAAGGAAAAGAATTTCCGTATTGTTTCCTCTACTTAGAGAAAAACTCAACCTAGTTATGAGACCAACCACAACACAAAGAAAAGCTGCACTAACTAGTTCAGATTAGTAACAGATGATGCTGGTGTGAATAACTTGTATTATATTCTAGAGCCCTTATAAATAAAATTCCCCGTTAGTGTTTGCATTATCAGCTAGAGTTAGTTAACATGTGGTAGAATGAGGACTTATGCAAGGTATGATGCGCAAAGCATTTTACTACTATGAAAACAAGTGCACTCTAGTTAGGAGAAAACCAACTGGACTCTAAAATTACACACACCTTAATGACAAGACTCCCCACCACATGTGAATGTAAAACATTTAATTTAAAAATGTTGACACTACAATATATAAAATAGCTATTATAAATGCACATAGTGTATTCTATAGCTGCCAGGTTTACTTTTTTTAAGGAAACTGTAAGTTACACTGTGGTTAAGACTTGTATCTTCACCCTTGAAAAAGCCCACATTCTATCACAGTGATGCATGGTCAGACTTAACAGCCCCAATTGTTAAACACTTGGATCAAGTCATAACCAGTTTTATTGCAAAAGGACCCTGTACACATTTATCGATTCTAGTACCTTAATAGCTACCCAACAAGTCATTAACATACAGAAACATGCATCATGAGAAGCAAGAAATATCACCCATCCCTTCTGCATATTAGCAACTTGTCACTCCTGAGCAACAGTGCTCACATCACTGAGGTCTGTGAACAGTCACTTTTCGCATTCATCCTGAGTGAAAGATGGAATGACTTAAGTACAAATGCAACATATTATAAACAATTTCTTACAAAAAAAGTCACAAATTAAACCAAAGTATTTTACAGAATTTACTACAAAACACCATAAAAACTGCCTTCACTTAAGCTCTCTCCCCCCGTATCCGGCGAGCCAACTGGATATCTTTGGGCATGATGGTGACTCTCTTAGCGTGGATGGCACACAGATTAGTATCTTCAAATAAACCCACCAGGTACGCTTCACTAGCCTCCTGTTGAGGACAAGAGCCACACTATTAAAACTCTCTTCGAGGGGAGGAGAAACCACCCACAACTCCTCCGCCCCTACCACAGCCTTTGTCGTCTTACCTGAAGAGCGCCGATGGCAGCACTCTGGAACCTCAGGTCGGTTTTGAAATCCTGGGCGATCTCCCTCACCAACCTCTGGAAAGGCAGCTTCCGGATCAGAAGCTCGGTCGATTTCTGGTAACGACGGATTTCTCGAAGCGCAACGGTCCCGGGCCTGGACGAGCAAGAGGATGTAAACGGACACCAGTTAACTGACAGTGCCAGCGCCCGCCAGGGACCGTTCCCGCACCGCAGAGCGCCGCCGAGTCATTGTTTTCCCTCCGCCTTGCCTACCTGTAGCGATGAGGTTTTTTCACCCCGCCGGTAGAGGGAGCGCTTTTCCTGGCAGCCTTAGTGGCCAGCTGTTTGCGGGGCGCTTTCCCACCCGTGGATTTACGAGCAGTCTGCTTGGTTCGGGCCATTTTCTTTCACCTAAAGAAAACATCCGTAACTCCTGGGCCGCAGCGCTCGCCTGGGGGGAGGTGGGGGGACGGGCCAGGCTCGTCGCCCCTGCCCTCCCGCCTCTTCGCACTCCACCTCGCGGCGGCAGATGGCCGAGACCGCCACCTCCTCCTCCCCCTCCCCTAATGACTCAGGCTGCGAGGAGCAGCAGCCTCCCCCGGGAGGGGGGGCGCGGGGAGGAGTCACTTCCCTTCCACGGCGGGCGGAGGCCGCGCTGCCCGGAACCCGGCGTCGGGACCTCTGAATCACCAGCGGGAAAGAGGGGGAGACGCGGTTCCGGAATGAAGCCCCAAGGGAAAACAAAACCTCCCAACCCCACACCCACCGCCAGCAGCCCAAGAAGCCCACACTAACCGGCACTCGGCACCCAACGGCCACGACCCGCAGCCCCAACAACTAGCAGAACCCCAAGTCACGGACAAATCCACAAACACGTACCTAACGCTGAAGCCCTAGGCCGCCTCTCCCACCGCCGCACCGCTCCCACTGCCCAACGAAGAGCCGCAGTCACCAACCAAAACAAAGAAGTTGCTCCAACGAACGACCAAACCGCTCTGCTCCAAACCCCCCCGGAATCTCCGTTTTTATACCCACGCTTCACGCTGCGTCTCTGCGTCATAGGACCTTCATTTGCATACACCAACGACTTTTTCTATTGGCGGGAGCTTTCGCCGACGCGTTGACATCCCCCGACACAAAGGCCGTGCATCGGCCCCGTTCCCTGATTGGTGAATATCTAGGCCGCTGATTGGCTATTAAAGTAGCCTAACGATTGGATGCAAGTAAAGAGAATTGGACGAATCAGAGTTTAGCACTAAGCGGCTCTTCTGATTGGATAAAATGGAGCTATGTTTGGATCCTTCCCTTGGTTCCAAAGCTCTACAATAGAAAGTCAATGCAAATGAATTACTTTGGTCCCAGTCAAGACGAAAAAGTCTGGATGGGCAGAAACCCAACCTTATTTGCACCACGTAATGCAATCAGTGCAGGAGGAGAGGCTACTTTAATGAAATTTTTGTGAATATTTTCCAATGTAAAATAAAATTCGTTCCCTGTGATTTACTTTATTAACATTTTGATAGTTTTGTTTGTTTCCAAGTTTTATTCAAGAACTCGTATAGAATATTCCAGATAAATGAGTTTTAATTCAACATTTTAATAGTTAAGTACTCTGTAGTGTAAATGAGAATTAGAATTCAGTAAACTATGTTATATTACCAGGTATTTTATTTATCATGCATATACATTTTAACCAAAAAGCAGTTCTTTGGTAGGGTGGGGAGGGGTAATAGCTACAAACAAAATGTCAATAGATGATTTAATAAGTACTGTTTTGTATGTTCTTAGGCCATCACAAGAAGCTTTGTGATTTCGAGGTGCTTAATGAAGTAATTGACTAAGAAACATATTTTTTAATTATGTAATTCAACTAAATAAAATGCCTATAGCCAGAATGCGAATAGTCCTATGATAGCATTTTCATGTCTATAAAGAGTAAAAGAAAGACAACTACATTTAATATGTGCTTTTGTGTTTCATGGTATATCTTGGAGATATTACTTCTGAAGAAACATGACAAATGTATAGAAATGGTTATCCCTATCCTTGTCTAAATAAATGTCTTGGATGGATGGTGATATTCAGCATTCCAGTGACTCAGATAAATAAAATATAAATCAGGCTTAAGGTTAAGACCAGCCAAACAAAGCTCAGAAATTGAAATAGAGCTTTGGGCATTCCACTCCATAGTTCTTACTCTGGATTCACTGAATATTTTAAATTATTAAAATCTTTTTATTTTAGCAAAACCAGTTACATACAGATTTCAACTCAGAGTATTATGCACAAATACAAACACCTCAAAGATTTACTTGTGACACCAAAAGTCTCTCACTGAGAGTAGTGAGGGGGAAAAAAATTAAATTTGAAAAAGCAGCTATAGCAAAAATGTCTTTGGCCCAATCCCTGGTACTGAATTCCTCTTATTATTTCAGCCCTTTTGATCATAACACTCACAAGAGTTATTTAATGATCATCCACTTAAACTTTTGTGATAATTTATTCAACTTTAATTTCTGCTTTCTCAGAGTTTAGGGTAGGGTAAAGATTAAGCCATTTCATTCATGCCATGCTGAGGAGAAACCAAAATAGAGGTTCTTGCCCTGTTCTCAGAACCTGTGTAAAATGAAGAAACAGGGCACTGCTTAGTTCCTACATAGGAGACTGTTAAATACTCTGGATGTAACCAGAAAAATATCATCATCTTTTTTTCACTGCTCAAATGGCCTGGAGAAGAAATGGGCTCCTTAAAACACCCCGTTTGTTCCAAGATTTTTCTAGGAAATCCAGAACCTTCTTCGTCTCATGCCTTCTAGAGGGAGAGACAGTCCAATTATTTTTTCCCCAGTTTTGTTAATTATTAGAGAGGAACTAAAACTGCTCCAAGAGAAACTAAGTATGGATTTACATTCATCCATTTAAAGACAATTAGTGGAAATAGTTTGCCCTCTTACTTGGCAGTCATACAGGTTAATTTTTTCTTTTTCCTAAATTGGTGCAGAGGGGGAAAAACACCACAGGAAATGAAGAACTACAAATGTTTATACAATCAAAACAAGGCAGAACGTGATGTAGGCTACTGTCTTAGTTCCTATCAAAGACATGCTGAGTAACTCTGTGCAATCTACTTAACTTCTCTGAGTTTCGTTTTCCTCTTTTGCAAATTAAGCAGTTTTGGATGACATCATCTCCCAATTCTACCAGTACACACTTATTCTGAAGCTCATGATACACATGTATTTAAAATCAAGCATTATGAACTGTATCTCTTCATTCAGATCACACTCGAGTATTTTGAGGATAACGTTAATTACTTAATAAGATTAAAAGAATACAACTTCTATTTGTCCTTTTGTAATTTTTCATCTTCCAAATGCCCCTAATGATTAAACTTTTGGCCTGTGAGGTTACTGGAAACTAAATAAAACATGTGTCATTCTTAAACGTTAACAATATTCCATTCACCCCACCCTCCCTTACTCCTAAGGTTATTTGGAATGTGTTTCTTTAATAAGATATCATTAGTTAAAATATTCTCATCTAATAAAATACGAATCAGTCTTTAAAACAATCGATTTAAATAAATTCGATATGGAAAACAAAGTTTAATAGCAACGTGTTAAAATATCTATGAAGAACTTCGTACAGCTCACAGAATCAAATGCCTTGGTCTAGGGGAACTGGCTTATTTTACAAAGGCCACAGAGTGAAAAACTTAGCCCCGCTGGCGGGAAGCGGGGAGGGGAGACATTTTCCCAACAAGAAAGACTGACGTTCAGAGCAGGAAACTGCAGTGGATTATAAATCGCACCCCCTACTCAAACCCCTGCCCTTCCTCTGGACACTATGTGATGTTTCTCAACACCCCTGCAACTTGCCGGTGTACCTGAGACTATTTTAGACGGAGATTAAATTCGTCCTTGGCCTCTATGTACTGGAAACAAGTTGACCAGGCCAGGTGTCGAGTTGAGAAGAGAATAAAATCGTGGAGTTCCCGATTTCAGGGTTGCTAAAGGTTTATGAGGAGCCCAGCAAAGACGCGGGAACAGAATATTGTGTCGTACAGCTCTTCTTTTGCAAACCTTTCTCAAGCTGACTTTCAGCGGGAACTTTCCTTCATGCTCATAAGGCTAGTCCCGCTGCAGGAATGAGGCGAATGAAGCGCACTCCAGGTGCCTGCAGCACAACGGCCCAGAGCCAGGAACGGACGACACAAATCCTTAAGCATTGCTCCGGTCGGCATCAGAACCGAACCGAAGCTATACCAAGTCTACAGGCGAGGTAATTATTACACTGTTGGCAGTAAAATTACACTTGGAACTGTTTCACAGAAGTTGTCAGGGCCTCCCTAGTTCTGGGCCCCATCTACTCCAGGGGCTCCAGTTTCAAGGAAAGGTACCGCTACGAAACTGAAACGCTCTAGTACGAAGGAGAAACGCAGCTGCACTGCAATTCCCAGAAGCCATCGCGGGCCCTCAGCATCCGGGACACCGTCTACAAGGATCCCTGGGTATCGTGGTCCGTTCCTTTGGCAGCAACCCTCTGCCGACGGTAAAATTCCAGCCAAACCGAGGACCACAACTCCCAGCAACCCTTGCTGCCGTGCGGGGGGTCTTCACGTTCTCGTGGCGCGGCGCAAGCGCAGTGGGTCCTCGGCGCGGACCGCGCAGACTGAATAATAAAAGGGGAGCGGCGAAGAGGCAGGAAGACAGGACCATGTCGAAGGGCCCCGGGCCCGGCGGCTCCGCAGCTTCCTCGGCGCCCCCGGCCGCTACCGCTCAGGTGCTGCAGGCACAGCCCGAGAAACCGCAGCACTACACGTACGTAGAGCCCCCCCCCCGCCGCGCGCGCACGCCTGACGTCAGCGGCCAGCGTGAGTCACGCGCGCAGGGAGAGCGCGAGGCGGCCTCTCCCTCCCCCCTTCTTCCTCCGGCCCGGCCCAGACCGGTTCCAACCTGCTGGGGCCGGTCCCGACTGCTTCCAACTGCCACCAACCTGTGGTCGGGCCGTGGGGCGGGAAACCCGGTCCTCGCGGCTGAGTGGGGAAGGCGGGACCTCTGTGTGCGGAGCGCACACATCTTAGGCCAGGCCGTCGAGGCCTAACTGTTCTTCAGATTGTAAACCCCAGTACCAGGCACTTGTGGACCGATAAGGAGTTGAAGACTCGACCTGGATGAGTTCCTTAGGGGCCAGCTCTAGAACCACCTGTGAATGACGATTAGCGCGAAGTCCAGTCAGTCGACCCCTTTACTGTGCCTAGGAGGCCTTTTGTATTCCTAAGGCCCATATGTTGTCCATGGAAGCCACGCTTGCTCGAATTCAGTTAAAACAGTTGACCCAACCAGATTCAGGGATGTTGAGCGTGATGGGGTAGGAGTCCGTCCTCAGGCCCAACTGAAATGTGTGGCATCAGAGAGGGACAGCCCCAAATGCTGACACTAGAAGAACCTAGTAAGATGGAAAACCACTTCCTGGGAATCTACTCGTGTCTAAGTGTAGGTCCTTGTCTTTTTATTTCCTTTCGAGGCGTGTTAAGCAACTAGCTAGTGCCAGGTGCTTTGGGAGAAAGATGGAAAGAGGCGGGTCCTCTTGTTAAGCAAAATGTTGGCTTCCATTTGCCCTGGTGCTCTTTGGGTGCCTCTCATCCCCATGGGCTCCTGAGTGTTGTGCATGTTTAGAAGGATCTCCAGGTGTATCTCAGGCTTGCTGGAGATTTGGAACCCGGTGGGGGGCGCGGGGGTTGAACAACTTTAAAAGCCACACAGTAATAATTCAAGAGCAGGAAGTATGCCTTGGAGTAGAAAAAACTAAAAGACAGGAGAAGCTCTTGTTTGGCACTCACAGAAGAAAGACCCATTGGGAAATCATTCTGGGGTTGGGGCACATTGGGTTTCTTTGTGAAATTTTCTGCTATTAGTTGAAATGATTTTAAGTTTTTTTCTTGACATTGTCAGACCCACGTTAACTACAACTTTTCTAATGTGGTTGCTTTGCTAGTTTTTACTGGAGTTCTTGCTGCAGTCCTTCCATTGGTTTGGTGAGATGGTCTTACCTCTGAGAATAATGATCAGTTGAATGGTGCCGTCAAGCAACAGTATGGTCTTGATTTGGAAATCTGCAAACTTCACATAATTGGAACTTCTTTATAAACCTCTCTCAGTTTTTTAAATAAATCTTTGATGCTCAGATCACATTTTTCAGTAAAATACAACATTTTGAGTAATATGAGTCTTGGTTTCAGCAACCTCTGTTTTTAGGTTTTGTCGTCATTGTACTAAGGAATCTATATTCGAAAGTCTTTCTGATCATTTTGGAATTGACAAAGTCAACAGCTGTGTAAATGTTAATTCTGAGTCTGTCCTCTTGATGCTCATTTGTTGAAAATCTGTCTTTTCATTTCTTGTGGGATAAGTGCAGAATAAGGTCTTGGCTCTTGAGTTGGTTTAGTAAATCAACAGGAATAGATGAAACATCTAAGTTTGGTTGAGTGGATGGAGATTGAAGGTATTCTCATCTCTTTTATTTTCTGTTACCTTTTCGTGTGTGTGTATGTGTGTGTTGATGTTAATGTCTCCAAAAATTAGAGCTAGAAATAGCTGTCTTCCTTGGTAGATTTATGGGCATTCAGAAGCTGTGATAATTTGGGAAACTTCATTCCTTTGTTGTCCCGGGTTTGAGAAGCAGGGAGCTCGAGGCACAGATAATGGCACCAGAAATATACTATTGACTCCGATTTTTTTTTTTTAAGGTAAATCTATTTGTTGCTTTTGAACGTTTTTCGATTTCAATATTTGCTATAAAATTTTGAGCTGCCCAGCATTTTTTCATTCTCCCTTGCAGCATGAATTTCCAGAATTTATTCCGATCTGAATATGGCCTTACCCATTGTATCGATCCCATTGTTGAATACAGATATAGACCTTTTGTTTTTTTGAATGTTTTTTTTTTTTACGTATCAAAACTTTTTACCTTTTAAAATTTTCTTATACATAATTACATAATTTTGTTTATTTTTTGTGCCTGAAGTTATTTGAGATCATGTGACATGCAGTAATCTTTGTGATAATCCAGAAGAAATTTGCATTAAAAATGAGTTGTGCTCATCATAGTGGTCGTCTTGGCAGTTGAATCCACCAAAGCAAACATTGTCTTCCTGTATGCTAGGCTGTTTTATTTTTTTTTTTCCCTTTATTCTTGTTCCATAACTAAAGTCCTCAAATTTGAGCAAGATTTTTATTCATAACATTTAAAGGATAATTATTTTGTTGGTATTTTTTTCCTAACAAATGATTCGATTTAAGGGAAACTTTGGAGTAATCCTTTCAGCAGGCACTTGGGCTAGACCTGAGGAATCTAACCCTCTTAGAAAACAGTTATATCAGAATTTCCTCTGTTGAACAGCTCCGAGAATGTGATTAGCACTCTAAAATGATGATGTACATATATCAGTACTCTTCCAGTACAAGGACCACGTGGCCTCTTGCTAGGTAATGTGTCTTTTTATTTGACAAAGACTAAATTTCATCCAGCTTTATTCAGAAGTCCATCTTGTATATTAGAAGAGTCTTATAAAAACAGATTTAAGAATGGGAAATTTTGAAGCAATTACATTCCAAAATATATCTACAAATGTAGCTAACTTTGGGCTTTTGACCGAATCACAGTTATATCATTATTTTGACCCTATGCGATGCTCAAGGATGTTAAATCATTTTTGGATTCCTTCACCTGTGGTTGATCCTCAAACTTCTTAATGCCCTTGTGTTAAAGGGAAATGGAATTCTAGTGATGGTTTCTTGCAGTTTTATGGCCACTAGGTGATTTCTTACAGGTAGACAGAAGATAAATACTTTATAGCTTCATTTAGCCAAATGTTATTTTAATTTAGGACTGTTTTGGGGGCATCTTTAAACACGGACAGTGTAGCAGTACTTTGGTAGATAACTATTTTGAGGCAAATTTGTTAGTTTGCACATTATATAAACGTTATGAACTTCACTCACTTGCATCTGATTGTGTTTTAGAAAATCCAGGAAATGATCGAGTAGTTAAATTACTATTGCAAACTGCAATAAAATTGTAAATATATTACTAGAGTACAACTTGTTACATAACAGAAGTCACTGGAAGCGTTGCTTAGCAACTTTAGCAAGAACGAGTTAACTTACCAAAAAACGTGTTTACTTGTTTATCAAGTAAAACTAATTTTCTTGCAGAACCAAAGTTAAGAGCTCGTTGTGGCCTTCGATCAAGCCCGCAAAACCTCCATTAATAAGTACTAAGTGCCCATGCTAAGGGGTAGATTCAAGCTTAGCACCTACTTGATATTTGCTATAATCTAAATTAATGATTAAAGTGAAGATTTGCTTAATGGTTAAGTTTTTTTGTTTTAATCCAGCTATGTTAGATACTAAAGAAGGCTTCCCCACAATCCATATGCATCTGCTTTGACTGGTGGTTTCTATCAACCTACAAAGACTGACTTATTGGTGAGGGCAGCTGGACAACTCTGAGAGCAACTTAGAGAAATCCATCTTGGGCACACTCTATAAAGGAGCTCCTTCTCTGGAAATAGCACCCCAGATAAATGCACAAAAGCAAGACACCCTCGTGGACCTACTTCCTCCCGCTTTCAACACCCTGATGCCTGAAGGTGAGGTCTTCTTCCTGTGTGTCTTAGAAGCCATGAGCTCACTTAGGTAATGAGAGCCCCGTAGCAGCCAGAGCACCACACATCTGCAGCCTTTCCTGCCAGACCTTTGCCTAAAGGTTATTTCTCATTAGGAGAGGCTCTAGGTCAGAAGAGTGGTAAAAGTAAGGTTGCATTTAAATAGTGGACTGGTTTAGGGATTATTTTCCCAATGGGGCAATATTTGCTTAATGATTTAAGTTTTTCATTTTGTTTTTTTTTAATCCAGCTATACTTGATACTAAAGGAGGTTTTCGCACATATGCATCTTCTGTATTTTGAAATTGCAACTATGGACAGTTATGGCTAATCCTAGTAGATTGTCTTCCCTTCTTTTAACATCTTGGATGAATTTGGGGCACACTAATGTATTATGTGAAGATGGATGTTGAATGTAAGTTTCTCTGTCATTCTTAGCCAATATATAAAAATTACGTTAGCTTAATTGTTTAAAATGCCTGGAGTTTGGGTTCAATATCCTTCTGGGCAATGTAGCTTTCTCGTTTTCTTACTATATAGCTACTCTGTAGATTCACCCCAGCCAACCATCTTAAAATACCTACACGGGCAACAGAGATAGCTGTGGAGAAACAGGGTAAAATCAGTGCATATGGTAATAGGGATGGGGGGGATATGTATGAGGTGATGGAAATGTTCTGGAATTAGGTATTGTTGATGGTTACACACCTTGGTAAATATACTAAAAAACACTGAAACATACGCTTTAAAAGGGTGAATTTTTATTGTAAATTGGTAAATGGTATAAATTACATCTCAGTTTTTCTAAGAAAAGCGTTAAAATCAGTGCACAAGAGTCCTACGACTAGAGAGACCTTAGAGTACGTGGCCTTACCAAGGGCTCGGCAGCATCGCTCAGTATGGGAAAAGCCTGCAGTTCGTGAAAAGCTCCTTGGCGCCCTTTCCCAGCCTTCTCAATAGCTTTGTCCCTGTGTATCCGTTCTAGTGAAGGCCCCCACGGTCCAAGTCTGTGGAGATGCTTTTGAGATAAGAAATGAACACTCAGCAAATTTGAGACTCCTAGTTGTCAGTAGTTGTACTTTAAATTGTCTCTGAATTGGCAGCCATTATGAGGAACGAGCATTTCCCCCAATGCCTTTGTAAGATGTGTTTACTTCCCAGGGTGGGTGGGAGGTAAAAGAGAAGGTTGCTCTCCTGCCAGAATGTAATAGATTGCGTTCTTCAGGTATCGCGATGATTGTTTTGATGTTTACATGGGGCTTTAATGACAGGCTATGTGTTTAGGCATCTAAAGTAACATCAGTGGCTATGATATTTTAGTTCAAATAATCACAACAAACTTTTTATTATTTCTCTATAAAATCCCTCAACTTTCACCCCTTTTTTCTTTGCCAGTGTGTAGAATTTGACAGCAGTATCAAGAGCTGGTGAGGAAGAGAAGATGGAAAGGAGTCTAGCAACTTAAAAAATCTCATAGCGTTCTCTGTGAGGTGACTTTTCCTGATGGTGGCTCAATTTTTTTAGGAGATAAAGAAGATACTAAGGCCTGTGACAGTATCATCATGTCATATCTGAGTTTATTGAAATGTTTCTTCCCTTATTTATATCAGTTTGCTTTTTGTGTTCTTAAGTTGACTCATTTGTTTCCTACTCGTACTCGAAACACCATTATGGCCACCGTAAGTCTTAACAAAATGACTTCTCATGAGGAGGGGGAAGGCGCTGGTTCCCACCTTCCTATGAAATTTTGGCCTATTCACGAACCCACCCCCACTGAAAAGAGGTAGTTATGCTTAGAAAAGAAGAGGTTGATAAAAACCTTTGGCATGGTATTTTATGACTTAAAAGTTTTAAGTAGTTTTTATATCTAAGCCTTTATTTATTTTGGTAAGAACATTGTCATATCTTTCTGATGTCACCCTTACTGCTAAGAGGTGCCAGGCATTTGTTAGCCTGCCACTTTAGCATTTGTGTAAATCAAACCTATCCAAATGACAGAAATCAGAAACTTGTATTTTCTTTAAAAAAAAACTTAAATTTTATTATCGAACTAAGAGTACTTTATAATGAATACATAAAGTGAATATTAAGAATCCCGTAGAGCATGTTAGAGTTAACATTTCTGTCTTTGTTTTTAGTTACTTATTTTATGATATTGTAATTATGGCCTGTCAAACACTCCCTGACATATCTTGAACAGCTTCCAGAGTAGAGTCACTTACTTGCTGCTGCTCTTGTTTTCCCTTTAGCTCAATTAAGAAAAACGTAGCTAACAGCGTGGTGTCTAAGAGTACTGACTCCAGGGCCAGACTGTCTGGGTTCGAAGCCCAGCTCTGCTACGTACTAGCTGTGGGACCTTGAGCAAGTGACTGTCCTCTTTGCGTGTCAGTTTCCTGAGGATGCAGATAGTATTTGTTCCATAAGGTCGTTATGAGGATTAAGTGAGTTAATACATAAAGTGCTTAAAAAAATGCCTGGCACTTAGCACAGTTTAAGTACTATTCTCACCGACATTTGCACAAGGCCCAAGTTACTAATTGCTGCCTCCTTCGGCAGCCGTAATCAAGTGCCTTCTTTAGCCACATCCACACTACAGTCAATTCTTCAGTTCATAGGGCCCACATGGGTCAGTGCTGTCTTCAGAACACACTCTTTGTTTCCCACATCCATTTGAATTTTACTTCAGTCGCCATTCTTCGTATAGCCTCCGTCAGACTGCCTGTATCTTACACAACAGATTTGTGCTCTAAACAGATCCGCTCTTC